CTGTTTGAGTGGAGAAAAACACGCAGTTTTGGTCCTCGCCGGCGTGCTTCAGAAAGGTCACTGAAAGAAAATGCTATTACATTCAGTCAATTTCACTTGGAAAAAAAAAGGACACAAACAGATAAAGTGACTACTCCGAGGCAGACGCAATGAATTGATCTGTGTGTGTATCACATACAAACCACATGAGAGGCCTAGAGGGACAGTTCATGAAACGCGCCAGTAGACCGGAACGGGTCAAATTGACCTCTCTGTCAGCGGAGGCATGCACGGAAACATGTGCAGGTCTTCATATGTAAACAGTGACTACAGCGTAATCAAAACACATTTTCTGAGTCTGTCACCACGCGAACTGCAGGCGAAGATGCTGAACCCCCATTATTTAGCTTCATGCATAGGAACGTTTGATAGAAGAATTGTCTACGTTGCTCATCACAATCGGGTTAATCCTATTACTGATCTATGAGAAGAAAAAGGGTTTCCCCTCCCCGACTGATGATGGGATTGCTCCATAACGATCGTTCAGTTCGTTAACGACCAGTGGCGGAATGATCCGGGCATGTTGTACAATGAGCGCTGGTCCATTGAGGTACCAGCGCTTATTGAGTAACTGCTGGTCTGTGGAGTGACCAGTGCTCATTGAGTTACTGCTGGTCTGTGGAGGGACCAGTGCTCATTGAGTTACTGCTGGTCTGTGGAGGGACCAGTGCTCATTGAGTTACTGCTATTGGTGGGTCCCTCTCTATCCGAGGCAGACCCTCAAAAGCAGATTAAATGGTCCCAGCACAGTGATCCCTGCCAGAGGTAATCGGAGTGACAACACCGGAGTGACTCACTGTGTTGTGGAGCTGCGAGCCAGCTCAGTTTGTTACAAACTGATATAAAGTATCTCCGAGGAGAATACAGTATCTCCTCAGAATAACTCCCAAAATAAACTGAAATCCCAGACATAGGATATACCATATAAATCAGGACAAATAACATAATTTAGTATGAATTACTATGTTAGCTACACTAATTATTAGAGATACACCGATGCCAGCTTTTCAGTATCGAGTACCTATACTTTGCTTTCGGTACTCGTCGATACTGATGCTTCCACTGGCATAGAACCAGCTTCCTGGGCAATCTGATGGCCTGAGAAGCTGGCTCCATGTTGTATGGCCGGCTTGATTGGCTGAGAGGTCGGTTTCCCGGCCAAGCACAATCAGCATCGGGCCTGCTTCCCGGCCAATCAGCAGGGAGCTGGCTGAACAGCTGTTTCGATGCTGATTGGCTGGGAAGCCGGCTAACTGATCGCTGCCCAGCTTCCTGATCGCACAGGAAGCTGGCTCCATGTTCCCCTATGGCACTGCCGTCAGAGGAAGCCTTCAGGGAAGGTATTGGAGCATTTCAGCAAGCACAAGTACTTGCACAAATACTCGGTATCGGCACCTATACTAGTATTGGTATCGCTGCATCCCTACTAATTATGTACACATTATTTTTGCCAAAACTGTGGAAATATTAGCCGACATTACATTTACATGTTTGTATATTGATTGTATGTTTTCATGTTCTTTTTCACCAGTTTCACCCCACCCTGTTTTCTTTATAAGATTCAAGATTTCACTCAGTTTGGCCTATTGCAGAATAGGAGGGTTCAGCTGCATGTCGAGCTACATACAAACCACAGAGTACGTGTAGCGGGAACAAAACATAGATCGCTGGGAAAAATTTAACTGATGACAGTGCAGTACAGAAGAGAGAGCACAGGAAGATTTCTGGCAGGATCAGCAGATATATTTTGCACTTCTTGTGATGATTTAACAGATACAATAGACATGACAAAACACTTTCAACTGTATATATTACAGACCAAAAAGAAAGCAAACAAGAGAAGCAGCACAAGGAGCATGAGATGAACTCATTAATGTCCAGTCATGGGCTGAGGACAGGTCCAGGACAGCCTGGGCCCAACGGACGTGGGTTCAATGATGCTGTCAGGTTAAAGTGACATTAAACCCTCAGATTTTTTAACATAAACCAATACTGTAATGTGTGCCTTACTGTAATCCATGGTAGTTTCCCTTCTCTTTGCTGCTCTTCCTTTTAAATCCTCATGTCTTCTCATGCTGGGGAAGAACTTCCCTTTGCAGCTGACTGCCTCTTCCTGTAGTGCTGGCTCAGGTTGCAAACCTACACAGAGACACCACGTAGCCATTCCAGAGACAAGGCAGTCTGCTGCAAAACAGAAGTTCTGCCCAGCATGAGAACAGATACAGATTTAAAAGGAAGAGCAGCAAAGAGAAGGGAAACAACCATGGATTACAGTAAGGCGCACATTACAGTATTGTTTTATGTTAAAAAATCTGAGGGTTTAATGTCACTTTAACTGTTGGGGTTTACCTTCCCTTTAAAGTGTATCTAAAGGCAAACATTTTGTTGTTGTTTTTAGTTTTTGGTAGAGACGTTTATTGGCGAGGTTTATATACACTTTAGGTGAATATTTTGTTTCCAGACAGACAGCAGCCTATTTATCTATAAGGCAATCGATCTCTCTCTTTAAGAGTGTATTGGGCGGCTGTATTTACTGTTACTTTTAAAGGCAGCTGGCTAGCAAATAATCAATAAATGTAATTTGGGAAACAGCAAATAAGCTGTATATAATTGCAGCAAAAGCGGCAAACTAATTTATTTTATTAGCTTCTCCCTTGTTTCAGTCAAAGTGCAAAAAAGTGACCGACTGGAGTCCTACAAGTTTATGTCAACTTAAAGAAATCTATACATGATTATATGTGATGGGTAACTATAAGATTAAGGCCTCGTTCACTCCAGACACTGGCCGGAACGCACTGCATCGCATTGCGGCCGGCTCACTATGTTGTGGGGCATGGCGGTCCATTGAAGTGAATGGCACAGTAGCCACGCCCTCCGGCTGGAGTGCTGCAGGCAATAGTGCTGCAAGCACTATTTTGTTCTGACCGGACCGCAGGCATTGATGTGCCTTGCGTTCCCGTGCGGCCGATCGCATTGCGGCTGGAGGGGGCGTGGCTACTGTGCCATTCACTTCAATGGACCGCCATGCCCCACAACATAGTGAGCCGGCCACAATTCAATGCAGTGCGTTCCGGCCAGTGTCTGGTGTGAACGAGGCCTTATGAATCTATTCACCTCTATGAATAAGCCTGCGGGTGAAACATGTGAGAGGGTGTAGCTGGTTGGGGGTTTGCGGTGCTGATATTTGTTGCTTTATACACTTTTATTCACTGTTACACTGGATTTGCTGTGAATTTCAATCAAGTCTAAAGTATTGGAATTCTCTGGATAGTGCGGTCTGTCCGTATACTACTACATTCCAAGGTGGAGACGCACCTATTAGACCAGCACCTGGGGAGTCCTGATGGTGACCAAGGAATTGGAGCGGTGAGATTTCCTTTGGCTCTACAAAAGAAATCTGTACACATGGGATAAAAGGTCAGAAACATTACCTTCTGCGCCTCCCTTACACAGTTCTGATACTCCTTGGCAAGGTCACTACAGTTGAGCAGCTCCTGCTGGTTTTCTGAGTAACATTTCAGAATGTTGGACTGGAGGTTCTGGCACACCGGGTCATAACTTCGCTTCCTGCCAAGAAGAGTACACAAGGTTATAATCACTACAAATAAAATCACGCATCGCTGTACACGGTAACATCAAACAAACAGCCATACATTATTTCAGCACCATGGCCAGCGGATCGGACTGATGCGCTGCTGGACCAAACTTGCTCATTTTTCCCCACGACTGATTTCAGAAACGTACCAAAAATACAAACTACGAGTCTTGTTTCTATAAGATTAGCACCAAAATGTTATATATATATATATATTCCCTTTGCATTAAACTCAAACTTTTTTTCAATAATGAATCCGGATCATACAAATATACGTTGCCAACAAAGTATTCTTTTACGTTTTTACCCAAGCACTTACAATCATCATGATTCAAAACCGCTCCAACTCTCTTCGCTCAGCTTCCCTGAACTTCCTGTCCAGTACAAGATCACAAGAGACAGAGCTTGCCTTGCTGTGTGTTTGTGGAGGTGCACACACAGCTTACTAGCACACACAAGGGTGGCCCCATAGTACCCGGCAAAGGAAAAGGAGCCACCTTAAAACAGGATACAGTAAACTCCCCGTTATCCGGCATCCACAGGGATTGGTAGATTCCGGGTAAATGTAGTTACTAATAAAAGTAGGTCTAACTAATGCCATACCCCATACTATACCATACCATAAACTCTGTATTGACTTCATATTAATACTGAAATGCAGTAATCAAAAGCAAATTAAAGGAGAACTATGGGGTTAAGTCTTTTCCCTATAGTTCTCCTTAGGGTAACGGGAGGACACAAACTAGCGTCCTCCCGTCACACTAGGCTCAGTATATAGGGAGCTGTAGCTCGCGGTATACTAAGACGCCGCAGCTGAAGCGGATCCCGACAATTATGTCTGGATCCGCCCAGCTGCGTGACTGACAGCTGGCTCTGCCTATCTAGAGGCAGAGCCAGCTGTACCCACCCCGTCCGCTCCGCCAGTCAGCGCTGGCGGATCGGAGCATGGAGGGGGGAATCCAGCCCCTACATGGAGAGGTGAGCGAACGCCGGTATGTGTTCGCTCACCTCCCGATCTACTGAGCCGACCTGTGACCAGTCTCATTGTCACAGGTCGGCTAGAACTATGAGGTGAGTGAAAAGCACACACCTCATAGTTCTCCTTTAAGACAAATAGACACACACGATCGTTTCCAGGATACGGTAATACATGCCGCAGGTCAGCAGAACAGCGAGTACACGGGGGATTTTGTTTTTCTGGTTAGATGAGAGTTCTGGTTAGTTGAATACCGGATAACAGAGTTTACTGTATCAGGACCAGTGCTCAGGGGACTAGCTGACTCCGCAGGAAACTAAACCTTTTAGACATGAAGGAGCCGCATCCATTGCAATTGATTTCATTAGCATTAGGAATCGCTTAGAAACATTTTGACTTCTAAAAACACGCACTTGAATTCTAAAAAGCGATTTATTTTCTGTGTGCATTCCGCTGCTTTTTCTTTATAGTTATCATGTTGACATCCATTTTCTTACCTGATTTTGCTTTTCTTAATATATATCTATGGAAACGGGAAGAACTTTTCACCTGTTTCAGCTCTGGAATGTTACAAGACTTGTTCTTTAACAGTTTTGCCGTTTTCGTTTTTTTGCTGATTGCACCATATTTTTGTCAATTGCCATGTCGTTGGAAACAGACAGATGATGGAAGAAAAAGGCTGTGTGGTCCTTTGAATCTCCCCCCTTTTTTTTGTTGTTGTTGTGTTTTTGTCCAAGTATAGATTTTTGTTTGTCCCAAGCATGTTTAACCCTTTTGCTGCCAGATCCGTTTTTGGCGCTCTTCTGCACACATGTTAAAATGCACATTTTATGCCTGAAGATTACCTCAAACCTCTCAGACAGTGGCGTCACAAGGGGGGTGCGGCCCGCACCCGGGTGACACCCTTGGAAGGGTGACACCAAAATGACTAACAGTCATTTTGGTGTCACTCCCTTAAAAAGTCGGGCACTCGGTCATGGACTTCCCCTCCTCTCTCTGCCAGCATCCATTACTAAGATGGCCGCCGGCAGGCGTCAATTAGATGACCGCGCACGCGCGATGACGTGACCACGGGGTGTCACTCGGTCTCTGCTCCGGGTGACACCCAGCCTCAGGACGCCCCTGCTCTCAGAAGTATATACTTCATGAAAGCATACACCCCTGGCTTAAAATTGTGTGTGTACTAAAGGTACCCAAAACTGTCTATAGGCAATGCTTTAAAACCTTTTACATGCCAACAGTTTAGAGAAAACTGTGAATAACGGCCCTAGAATTATTGCTCGCGCTCTGGTATGTGCGGTGATTGATACCAAACGTGTGTGCAATTGTGGTTATAAACACTTTTACTTGTTGCACTCCTTAAGGAAAGTCCCTTGTAATGGGGGAGGTGCTCGCAGTGACTGTGAATGGCGCTGAAAACATCATCAATATGTAGAAATGTCACCAGCACCCCAAATCCTTTTAGGATGGCAAAATGTTCATTTATTTGCAGTTCCTTGTCAGAAAAACCAGACACAGAAATGCAAATAAATGAACATTTTGCTATCCTAAAAGGATTTGGGGTGCTGGTGACATTTCTACATATTGCAATTTTATGGTAATAGGCGCACCCAACGCGTTTTTGCATTGGTATGTGCGTGTATTTGGGGGGGAGCTCCTTCAGGCTGTAAAGAGGAGAGCCTAGAAAATTAGCACTGTTTAGAACTCATGGTAACTATTAACCATAAATGAGTGTAAATGAACTCATTCTGTAAGATTACAGGTTCAATTTAAAGCCCAACTCCAGCTTGAAGCGCTCCTCCACCCACGCTGTCCTAGGTCCAGTGGATGGAAATCCTAGGATCTTCTTCCTCCCGCGATTGTGATGGTCGGTCCTCTTCCTCCCGCGATGGTCGGTCCTCTTCCTCCCGCGATGGTCGGTCCTCTTCCTCCCGCGATGGTCGGTCCTCTTCCTCCCGCGATGGTCGGTCCTCTATGATGCAAACAGCCACCTATATTTCAACTTTGTTTAAAACTGTTTACCTGGAGTTCAGCTTTAAGGTTTGTTTGGTGCAGAAACTGGCTCAATGGACTCTATCTGCTATTTGCAAGTCACAAGACTGATCCAATCTGATCATCGGTCAAGTGGGGTTAACAAGTGGCACGAAAATAGTTTTTTTTTAAGCAATGGAAGCCCCTTATGTTGGCTGCAGACACATATTAAAAGCTGAAGTGTAACCTGCTTACGTTTTGCATTCGCAGGTTCCTCCTATTGTCAACCATTTTCATCACACACTTTATTTTATACCCAATGATATCATCACTAGGTCCATGTGCTTCTCTATGCAAGGCTGGAGACTATATGATGCCAGATGTCCTCCAGCCAGGGAATGAGTTGCTGCAGCTTCTAATGCATTTTGTGCAGCGAAATCAGAGTAAATCAGAGCTGGTACAACTGTGCAAGACTGAAGGGAAGGTAGAGGTTCAGCTTTAAGTACTATGCCATAAACAAGTCTCAATAAAGGCTGCAGCCTTGAGAGGTTGGCCAGGCTGTTTACTTAGTAATATCGATTCTGTTTCTATGTTTACCCTTTGCCTGACCTTGTTCATAAAGCAGGCACTAATAGCAAGCATGTACACGCCATTATGTGAGCTATTTACTCTCGGGCTGCTGATGGATGTTTATACAGACCATTGTTACGAGGGGGGCTAATCCCCCCTCCAATGTCACACTTCTCACATTAGGATGGAAAAGGAGACCAGGAGGGTCTGTTGAATTTCCCTTTTTTGGCACTCACAACCTCATAAGCACAGGTAAGGTTAGGATGTACAATCATTTCACAAGCCTTTATGAGAAAACAAAGCTCACACTTCCCCAACAGAGATCAGTATTACAGCTATGAACCTACACCTGCCGACTGTATCCGTGCCACTGTCTCACACTTCCTCTTTCCATCACTTGTGAAAAGGATCCCAAAGTACCTAATATACTACAAAAAGAGGAGTGCTTCTCAATGCAAAAGGAGGGAGCAATTGGCTCCTTTCCTACATAGTACCACAATAGATCTTCGGGGACTCGTCTTTTCTCCTGTGTCACACTTAGTAGTGAGCCCATCAAGCGCTAGACGGAGTTTACAGCTTGATGGGGTCCATAAGGATCACACCATCTTCCATGACCATTCCTTCTGCCTCCCATAGGCTGGTTTTCTTGACTACAGACTCTTGACTACAGTTTGATTACAACTGCTATAGCTGGAAGCCCGTGCTGCACCTATATAGTGGTAGGGATTGCATGGTGAAAGGATGCCAAGAACTATGCAGGTGGAAGCATAGCTGCACTATATGGCCAAAAGCATATGGATACCCAATCCACATTTTGCATTAAAGTGCACAAAGTCAGCTCTATTCTTCTCTTCTTTGGTTTCTTATCTTGATTCTTAAAGGAGAACTATGAGGTGAGTGCTTTTCACTCACCTCATAGTTCTAGCCGACCTGTGACAATGAGACTGTCACAGGTCGGCTCAGTAGATCGGGAGGTGAGCGAACACATACCGGCGTTCGCTCACCTCTCGATCCTGTCACGGCTCTCTGCCGTGACAGGGGAGGGGCTGGAGGGGAGGGGCGGGTACAGCTGGCTCTGCCTCTAGATAGGCAGAGCCAGCTGTCAGTCACGCAGCTGGGCGGATCCAGACATAATTGTCGGGATCCGCTTCAGCTGCGACGTCTTAGTATACCGCGAGCTACAGCTTGCGGTATACTGAGCTTAGGGTGACGGGAGGATGCTAGTTTGTGTCCTCCATTACCCTAAGGAGAACTATGGGGAAAAGCCTTAACCCCATAGTTCTCCTTTAATCTCCATTCCTCTATAGTTTGTATTACTCTTCTCCTTCTAAGCATTGTTTTGGGTTTCCTAGGGAGCCCTATGGTACCCTCGATAGATGATGCAAGCTTTCAAGGTTTCAAAGTGCCTCATCAGGACTGATGGAGGTCCCTATTTAAAATTGCTGTTCTAGATTG